CAACAGGCAGTGTGAGAACCGCGTCTTCATCACCAAACAACATGCACTCACCTTACAGCCAGGGCAGTGTGAGGAAGGCTGCGACCGTCAGGGACTAACGGGCAGTGGAGGCGGTGGAGGCGGTGTGGAGATGAAGGGACGCTCGGTCGGCAGCGGTGGATCAGAGCGCGGTGGTCAACATTCCCGGAGTGGTCCGACAAGGAGCGAGGAGAAGAGGCGGAGGAGGAGGCGAAAACAGTGGCAGCAAAGACTGCAGGCAGCTCATCTCATGCGGCCGGGGAGGACACAAACACACGCACACACGCATACACACGCACACAAACACACACGCACGTAAACAACTCCTCCCCTTTAGAACTAGACCACGCCCACCAGCGAGGGTGATTAATGCGGCGTTCACGTCTTATAGGAATAAGGGCGTGTTCAGAGGATTCCGCTTTTTTCTTTTTTCTTTTTTTTTTGAAGAGCTGTCTCACTGGTGTTTTGGGTTCAGTGTGTGCTGATATAAAACACACACAGGATCATTCTGTACCTTTTGAGTGAAAGCGGGTGACAGCGCAGGTTATATGTTGAAGTTGTTTTGATAAAAAGAAATACATTTTTTTTTTTTTTAGAGAAACACAAAGGCCTCTTAACATTGTTTCATTACCTCATCTGTGTGGACAACAAACTTTAAAGTTAAACCATCCTCTATCAATCCTACAGATATTAAATGATCACATTTATAAATATGATGACACTGATAATATCAATGTCCCTCTTAGTCTTCCCTCTCAAACAGCAAGAGATGAACACCCTCTGAAAGTGCTTGAACACCTTAAGCAGCACACACCAGTGGTGGAGTGGTGCCAGGAGAAGTGGGTATACTAATTTATGCACTCTATTTTTTTTAAGCAGCCCGTCCAGCAAAGGATAAAGGCTGTGTGTATAAACAGGGGCATGTAACACTACTCTTGCATATTTAGCACATCCAAAAACGGGCCAGTAGCATTTGCACAATGTCACTTCACTATTGCTGCTTGACTTCAGGGTGTACGGATCATTATGAACACTGGATGATGCACATCAGAGGGGATTTAGAAGTGGGTATACCCAATGTCAACTGAAAGAGTGGGTATACTCCATATAGCTGCATTTTCCCTGGACTACACCAAAAAAAAAAGTCCAGTGTGTAACCTTTAGGAAGATCTATTGGCATAAATAGAATATAATATTTATATATGTATTTTTAATATTTTCATTTATCATTGTAGTGGGCCTTAAGTGATTTTAAGTAGGAATAGTTTTGCGTGTCCATGAGGGTCCGCCATTACGTACATTTCATCATCAGAAGGTGTATGCGAAGGCTCTGCGTAGACGTCGACATATCGCCAATTTGTAGAGTCACTACATATGACTACATTGTGTGTCCGCAGACTCCAGAAAGTACTGTCAACAGAACTATTACACGGCCGTGGTGTCTGCAGAGCAGATGTCTGTGTATGCATCTGTTCAGGAGTAGTCATATATTCAAACCTTTACATTCTCCAATTGTAAAAATGTGTAGCCATTACACACTAAATAAAAAAATGTTTCATCAATTAAAATGTGCGTCATACATTACATCCTGACCTGGTGCCTTTTCCTGTATATTTTGCTGAACTTCAATATTGGAGGCCACTAGTCTTGAGTCTCCTTTGCTAAGCTAGCTATGGATTCCAAATTTAAAAAAGTCTTGGAGGAAATAGAAAATTTATGTGTGTGCGGACAAATTTGTTTGCTTTCACCACCAAAGCTGCTAGCTTACCGGTATGCTCGATCTGCGATCCTTGTCCTACACACTCGGAAAGCTGAGCTGCAACACCTCTAGATGACACTAATTCCTCCAGACTGGTCCTTTAAAATCATGCCTCAGTTTCCCATACTTTGCAGCTTTAAGGGACTTAACTATGCTTTAAAGTAAAAAGGTAAACCTTTTGAACATTAACAACACTATTTGGCATCCATCACTATACATATATCAGCGGACAATTCTAATTCAGCTTTGTGGACATTAAATATGTCCTTGTCTTTCTATATCATTGTAAACACTGTGTTATCAAGCAACAACTACAAACAGTTTTGTCTTTATTAAAGCTAAATAGGCTAATTAGACAACTTGTTTGCTTTCTGCCAAATTATTCTGCCTCTAAAGACATACATGGCACTGTTGAACGATGTTTTCATAAACAGGGCAAATTACTTTACCACCTGTAGCAAGGGGAAAGACGTCATGCATGTGTATGTCAGTGTTACAGATTATTACCTAAATTAAAAATACTTAAAGGTACACTGTTATGATACAATAAGATACTAAAGTTATGGACAAAATTCCACTTTTAATTAGAATCCCTGCCCTGACAAGCACAATCATAAATAAAAACACTGTTGGCAGTGAGGTATGAATATTGCACAAGTAGGGGTCAAATCTCATTGCACCAGAGTTACCTTCCTGGCACTGTTGTGTTTTTATCCCTCTGAGCCTCGTAGGAGTATTGCATAAGACCTTGAAATGTTTATATGACTGAGAGCAACATCAAGAGGTGTACATTCAGCTAGTTTTAAACATATAGAGATTAATAAAACATTTAGGAGGAAAGACATGCAAAGGCAATGAACTGAACCTCAGAGCACTGTCAGATAATACACCAGGGACAAACCAGCATTCAGTTCATTTTTCATACTGCCTGTGATATGTCAGACTAGGATATGCTTAAGTGTTGGGAACACACCACGGGAGTCTGAAGTGCAAAAGGTCATCAGTCCTGAGCTGTGTGTGTGTGTGTCTGATTTAGGACAACAGGGAGCTCACACTGTGTCCCCTCAATGTGTAAACACACACTCAAAGAGCAGACATTGTGAAACTATTGCATCACACACATGCTTACATACAAACATACATCAAGTCACTCATCATATTCAGGGTGCCATCATGCAAACAAAGCATTCATCCTCTGGGACTGGCACTGATACATAAACTAAACACACATTATGTTGATTTCACCTCATCAGACATTCAGTATTGCACAGGCCTTTTGTTAAAATTGATTGATCAGATACATAGTAGACTACCCAACATCAGAAAACAAAGTCAATACAAACCCCTGCTGGTAGTCAGGGTCACTGTGTCCATCACTCATAAGTCAGCCAGTCAAGACTAACAAAGCTGTGCTATATAAGCCGGGGCAGTTGGTGAATGGCTTTCAGGACCATGGATACTTTGAGTGGAAGCTGCCATACAAGGAACTCAGCACTTGTATTGCTCATCTTTGAGTAAAAAAAGCCACATATAAACAACCTATACAAAGTGGCTGATGTAATCTAAATTACATGATGACATCTTCCCTACCTCAAGCCTCCATGTGAAACTGTTATGGCAACAAATACAAACTTACCAATAAGGTTGGTAAAGGCTGAAAGCCAAACCTAAATGAATTTATTTCTGTTAAATTATGTGGTGTGATCTTCTGGTAATTCTTGATTCAGTGGTTGTTTGCATTGGCAGTATGGTTAAAATAGTTTGGAACCATAACGCAGGCTAAGTCTCAAACACACGTACATACTCGCAACAGAAATATCACTCACACCCACCCATACACACCCATTTGTTGGGCAGATTAGAATGGCTGTAGGCTGAGAACGGATTTTGACCCACTAAAGAGCCTGTGGTGAAATTTACAGCTTTCTCTGGCTAGCAGAGCCAAGATTACTCTTATGAACTCTCTTGACTTAACATCACCCTGCACTAGTCAGTAAAATCCCTGAAAAAAAAAACTTGAAAGTGCAGCAATTCATGTTTTACTTGGTAACACCCCTGCACTCAAAAGAAAATAATGAAAGAGAACCCGTATATGTGATGGATGCGTCAATAGGAAGTGTCACTTTACCAAAATTCTCTCTGAGATCTCCACTGTACATTTCTATGTGATTTTGCAACTAATATGGATGTTTGCATCATTTAGTTGCTTCTGGGGAAGGTGGAGGGGCACAATGACTGGTGTTTCAGGAATCAGGAATGCAGGTTAGGTTCAAGTTCTGTAAGAGTCATTTCATGTGACCACATAGTGATGAGTCAGGGCCATGAGCTGCTGCCCGGAATAGTAGCTCATCTGTGGTGTGGCAGAGAGAGGGGGGTTACAATATATTTTATAAGGACAGCAGGACGGCCACAGCCTACAGTCAACCACAGTGCTGGGTCAGAATGACGCTTTTCCAGGGCAAAGTTCATACTACCATTTGCTGAATCTAATATTTGGCTAACTTTTACTTATGGAAAATGCATATTCTAACTGAATTAAGCTAAAATACAAGAATGTGATCTGCAAGTCAGTTTTCACTTGATTACAAAATTATTTATTGATCAAAAATTAGGTAGACAAAAAATAATTGTGCAACCTTCCCAAAAAACAACATTAAACTTAAAAAGCAATAGCTTATAAAATGTTCACACTATTGGTGAAATAGCTCTCTATGGAAGAGTTAAACCAAATCTTTCATGATTGTGTTTCTCATAGTTTACAAAATATACAACTCTACAATGTGCTGTAGGCTCTTGTGTGTAGATGAAACCATCTAGCAGAAATCAAACAATCCCTTCTAGTTAGAGGAAAACAAAACAGAAAATCTCTTAAGGTTTTCACTCTCAGGATAAAACATACAACAATGACAGTATTTTTGAGTGCTAAAACTAAGCATAAATTAAAATAAGTCTCTATAAATCTAGGATTTCAACTCCCTTTACTCAGATTTATCTCACAATCCACAGCAGCGAGCATGTACACCTGAATGTGGATGCTCTAGATTTTTCTTCATTCTAAAGACGATTCAGCGTGGATATCCCCTTTATCCATAACTTTACCATTTAATGGCACTAGTCCACTCTTCCTTTATAAACCATAGCTTCTCCATACAGTACAGTTCTCCTAAATCTGTATTACTTCTTCCTATGAGTGGTGGTTTGTATTAAGTAGTAGTATTGGTAGTGACTTGTTGATTAACTAACTGATAAACTTCAATAATGGTGTTTCAAAATAGTTTCAAATCTTTTGAGGAAAGGAAAGATTCCTCTTAATTTCTCTAAAATAGCAAGAATCAAAGGCATGGTCAGTCAGCTCCCTACTGTACAAGTAGGAAGTTTCTGCAAGGCACTGACCATGTATGCCAATGTCTTTAGATTTTAAACAGCAGCACAAGTGAAGGTTAGAAGCTAAAACAGGAGCACATTGAGCTAACAGGCACTAGTTGGTCACAATCATCTTACTCCTCCTCAGAGCCAAGAACTGTAGAAGTTGGCATTAAGGATCAGATCTGGATAAAATAATACACTCAAACATTTTCAATAGATTCATCCATTGTTTTCGTAAGTGTACTCTTGTTAAACAAATATTAAGTAGTTCAAATATGGAAAGATCATCAGATCCAACTTATTGCACCGCATATAGAATTTTTACAGCAAACATCATATACATAACACTGATAACAGTATAAGGCATCCATAACTTAACTGTGGTAAAAAAAAAAAAAGATCAGAACAAAAAAAAAAGATCTGAAAGTAGCATAAACTATTTAAATTTGATTTCATTGGCACACATTTTGTACAACTGACCAGTTTAAACTACTGAATTCAAGTACAGATGGCACAGTGAAATTTAGTTTAGTTTAAGAACAGTGAAATGTTTTAAAGATGGACATAGAATGATTTTTTTTCCAACAAGCCATTGTTAGCTAACTGGGATGATTGATATGAGTAAAATCAACTGTAAACCTTTCACCTATAACACCTATTATCAGGTGTTACTGGTGTTTGGCTACTAAGAGAGCAACATTCCCCTTGCAAGAAGAAAAATCATTACTCTTTTATTCAAAGTTATTTCAGCATTAGTGCATTAGTTTAAGAATAAGGCCCCAGACTGGTAGACAGAGTTATGAAGCCCTTTTTGAATAGTTTATCTAGCATGTAGAATTTGTTCTTTATTCTTATTTTATTGTTTGTAATTTGAGTCACACATCAGATAAAGTACCCCAGAACTTTCAAACATTTACTCAAAATGTGACTCAATCCAATTTTCCAAATGTCTGTTGCAAAAGCACAATGGCAAAAAACAAAAACTGAAAGAAAATGTTATAATTATTCCTCGTTGTGGTGATGTGGGCTTTCCCTCTTACTGCTGAGGGAGTGTTGAGGAGGTTGCTTGGATTGTTCCCAGTCGGCCGTTCACTTTGACTGTTTTTGTGGGCACAGCGACCTAGTTAAAAGAGACACAACATGTCATGTTTGTAGTTCTCCACTTTGTTAATGACAGGAGTAATAGTTCATGACATGCTGGAAAAAATATATCACGTTCTGTGGTTTTGTGGAGTCTAACTGGATACAGAAAGAAAAACTGTGTAAACTGAAAAGATTGTAATAGTTTGCACCAAATCAGATCAGGTCAAAACTTCTATGATTCTTTTCCTCCTCCTAAAACTATTCATTCTTTGCTGTTGTTCCTGCCCGATTTAAATGTTGCGAAAATAATAATACAAAAAAATGTTTCTCAAAGCTATAATTTTACACAGCTGCTGACCTGAAATTGAACTTTATTTTCTTGAAAATATTCACACAGCAGTAAAGTATGGCTGTTAGAAGAATCTGTGAATGTGTTACAATATGCAATTCTTTTCCAGTTTCCCAGCTGCTGCGCTACAGGAGTGCTTTGTTCTGCCAATGATGTCTTCCAACGAGGCGAGACGTGAGAAACCAGACCAAAGATGTAAGAGGAAAGAGGACACTGGTTCAAATCATATGCTTTTCCGTTGCTGTCTGGCTTTCTTGCCTCTATCTGTTCTGTCTCTCCCTATTTTCGTGTCTGGCTCTCTTTTCCCCTCACTCTCTTTGATAAGAGTCTCTCTGGGTAAAATTATGCCATCTTGTGCACCAAGACTCATGAAAAAAAGTCAAATTATTTACATATTCATCACTTGCTGTCCTAAAGCTAAATTTTAATTTGCTTATGCTATCTTTGTTTTATTTTTCATTTCTTCACCAGTTTATGTATTGTTCCCTGTCCTTCTGACAGAACAGATGAGACACATAGAGCTTTGGAAGCCAGTCGCCGCTGATGTAATCTGATCCATGTTTAAGTGTTACTCTCTACCCTCACTGCTGTTTGCATGAAGCAACTGTAGAATTGAAATACAACAGAGTATATAAAGGGCGTAGAGAACTTTCACTCTGTGGTGTAAATAGATGCTGTATTTTTCTCTATTCGTACCTTTTTTAGCCTCTCAGCAGCAGATCCAGAGCGAATGGCCTCCAGCATAGCCTCCCTGGCCAAAGCAGGGTTCATAGGGGCGTTAGCACTTGGATGTGCCACAGTAGTGCTAGGCTTACTCTGGGGCAAGACAAGGGGAGGAGGTGGAGGTGCTATCATGGGTGCTGGTGGTGGTGGTGGGGTAAAGACAGGAGGAGAGCAAGTCAAAGAGGGAGGACAAGGAGAAGAGGGAGAGCTTGCACTTCTCTCCTCCTCAGAAGCCTTCCTGAACTTCTCCAGCTCATCAGCAGCCTCAGATTTGGTCTGTAGGACACAAAGGAGGGCGACAATGGTAACTCAGGACACATAAACATAGGCAGCAGGCCAGCTGCTCTCATATTAAGTGCATCTGAACTCACACTCATCGCCTAACACACAAGTGTAAAACCTCAACCTCTGACACACATATACAAACAATTTTCTGGCCTAATCTTTCTGCGTTATATGTTCCGCACGTTTATAGGATTTTATCTTATTATTTTTGTAATTCCATTGTTCATAGTTATCTTGTTTTATTTAATTATGAACTTTTTTTGAGAAGCACAACGCTGAGTCTGATTTAGTCATGCAGCATTCCTGAGATTCCAGGTCTGGTAAGGAACCTCCAGAATAGAACCACAGATGTTTCAGCAACAGCAGTGCGTTTTCTGCCCCTTTCATTCCACATGGGTCCTTACATGACAGCAAACCACAGCTCACAGTCCACACAGAGGGATGGAAATAGATACCCATGCTTGCATAACTTGGTTCATGCATGATTTTGTGAGTTGTTAACCAGCTAACAGACAAAGAGTTTAGCACTTACATTTTCTTCTAAAAATACCTGTTTGTTCTGTTTTAGGTTGCCTAAAACCATGCTAGTGGGCCTGTGAAGCTGTGCTAAATGCTACAGTCAGCATGGCAACATGCTTACAATGACAATGCCAGTGCTGATGTTTAGTATAATAATTACATTCACTATCTTCGTTTAGTGTGTTTGCATGCTAAAATTTGCTATTAAACTCTCATCTGAGGGTAATAAAAATGTATAATATAATAATATAATATATTGTAATATATGAACCAAGTTTCATCCAGTCCATTTAATAAAAAGACATTTCTCACTAAACCAAAAATGTTAACCTCATTAAAGTCACAGAATCAACACAGGGATTATGATTAGTCTTCTGGGGACTATGAATGTATGTACAAAACAAGCAAGCTTTCCTAAAATAGTATTGATGATGTGTAAATAGTATAGCATTAACATTTGTTTGAGTCATACAAAGTGGGTGAAAGTGGACAGTATTCTTATCGTTAAAACAAACAATTAGTCATGCTGTGACTTTGTAGGGCCAGGTTTTATCTCCCCACCATTACCTTGCTATTGACAGAGATGGAGTGATGAATGCATGAACAGCTAAGAGAGTAGTTTACCTTCTTCAGCCTTCCAGAGTTGCTCTGAGCTCTAATGGCGGCCAGAAGAGCAGACCTCTCATTCTCCTCCTCATCATAAGCTGCTTTCTTCATGCTGCTGGGACCACCTGTGGTTATCTAATAATGAAACAGAAGAATATAAGAATATAGTGTATTTCTATCTATCATCCATCCATATACTGTACTATGGTCATCTTGGTCTCACCTTCTTGAGCCTACCCCTGCCTCCGCCTGTCTGGATTGCCTCCATCAGGCTGCTGTGCAGAGACATGTCTTTCTCAACAGATTTACAGATCACTGGTCTGAACTTTTTAACTGGACCAAACACTGTCACCGGCCCAGGAGTCTCACCACTGTCTGCCACTGTGACAGAGGGTTGTGGTTTGCCATTAGGTGTTAGATGGGTGGCTGCCTTGGTCATGTCCCTCGTGTTCTGAAGACAAGATGTTGGGTATTAAATACACTGTAATTGACAGTAATTTTGCTGTAAAAAATCTTAATACTATTTATTTTCCGAGACCCATAACTTGAAATATTTATACTACACGTTTCACTCACATTTGTCTGGCCATGGTATACGGTCTTGAAGGCTGTGGGTGGTTTGGCAGATGAGTGTAGAGGACTGTTTTGTACAGGACTGGGACTTCTGTGCTGAATATGTTTAATATTATCTCTGTCGTTATTGGCGGTCATATTTATTTGGGTGGGGTTATTCTTGGTTGTTTCTGTTTCCAGTGTATTAGAGCTTCCTTTGATGGATCCAATACAACTTCCAAATCCTTCCCTGTCTGGTCTCACTTCTCCAAAATCCCTATCTGACACATACTCTGGGTAGCTCATAGACCTCTTAGGACCAGGAGGGTTGGATTTAAAAGCAGATTCATTCTCCTTATTATCTGACAAAGATGACTGGGAAGATTGGTGTGGATTCACATGTATGGACCGACCTGACCTCTGGAAACCAGTCTGTGTTTTAAAAGAAGCAGAGGAGTCAGGTATGCTAGGAATGGAGTTGGGTTGAGCTGAAGTCCTTGGAGTGTATTTATTGATGGCAGACGCCACGTATTGGCTTGAGGTTCGTCTAGATGGTTTGAGGAAGGACAGGTCCTTTCTCAGGTCTGGGAGAATAGGAGGGGGGAGGGCAGGTTTATTACTTGGCTGCTGAACATTTTTGGACACTGAAATCTTGCTCTCCACCTCTTCCCGCTCCTGTTTAGCAACTTCGTTCACTGGTTCTTTAGCTTCTTCTTTGACCAGCTCTTTAGGCTGCGCTCTCTCTGCAGGTTTATTAAGTGACGTTTGCAATGTTTTTAGGTCCTCAGTGTTACTGGTCTTCAATGTAGTTTCTGAGATTGCAGTGGGAGTACTTTTCAGGGTATCTGTGCTCTCCTTAGCCTTATCAATGAGACCTTTGTTGTAGGGCACAGGACTTTCTTGTCTCTCATTTGAGTTCCAAAAAGCTTTGGCTTTTCCAAGAAGTGGAGACCCCTCACTGTAATTAATTCCTGTCTCTGAGGAACCACCAACTTTGTTCCGGGAAATACCCACTTTCACCATGTTCCCTTGATCGTCAATCTTAATGGCACCAACAGTTGATGGGACAGCTGGCACTCCTGTAGCAGCATTAAAGACAGAGGGTTTGGGAGGGACCACAGTAAAGGTTTTCAACCCGAAGCGTGATGTGACGTGAGTGATTTTACCATGTGGAGTATTGGAGATGGAGGTATTTTGGTGAACTCTGTGCATCTCTTCATCTCTTTCTGTAGATACTGTTTTCTGACTGGTTGGTGGAAGAACAGGTTTATTCCCTCGAAAAGATTGAGTATTACTTTTAACAGGATCGGGTTTGATCTCAGTGCTCTTGCTGTGTTTCTGCATGTCAACATTAGATTTCACTGCTGGTGTTGTTCTTTGTTTATCCTCTTTCACACTGTTGGTATCAGAGATCCTCATCTCTTCAATTTTTGTTTCCAGTATCTTTTCTTCCTTTTTATCACATTTAGACTTGTTCTCCAGTGACTTCCTATGCTGCTCAGATTGAGACGGCTGCTTAGTATTTGCACTGCTGCTTTTATTACTGTCAGCAGCTGTACAAGCATTGTTGTTTTTATTCTGTGGCTCTACACTGGACGGGTGACAAAGGCCTGGACCTGTGATAACACAGGGTAAGAGAAAGTCAATTTAATAATAAAACACACAACTTTTGAACTGCATTACATTTTTTACAACTGGGCCTGAATACATTTCAACAGTGATTATTTCATAGTCAAACCATTATGTCAGCTTCTGTGTAATTTACTGGACGTAGGTATACTTTCTCCGTACCTTTGCTGCCAGCTGACTCATTCCTGGTTAGTGACTTTGCCTCATTTTCTACAATGTTATGTTCATAGTCCTCCAGTACTTCATCTATGGCTGTGACTGGCACATCCATGTCCACTACAGACACCGGCACCTCATTACTGTCTGTGGACATAGTATAGGGAGTCTCCTTTGCTGAGACTATATCGACGTGGTCTGGAAAAGGGTAAAATTGGAACAGATCAAGGGGTTAATACATAAAACTTTTGTCACATTTATTTATTTGTCACTTGTGGTCAATGTGGGGTACAGTAATGTAAATATTTTACAACAAACTGCAGATTTATAGGATTACTTTAGGTATTAATGCACACAACCTGAAAACATATAGTTCTCTTTCAAACCTTACTCGGTATCTCACTATGGGAAGGCCTCCTGGCGTGACAATCATGGAGGAGCGAATAGAGCACCGTTCGCTGAACAGACCGACCTTCCCATAGTGAGATACCTCACTCGGTTTTCAGAGAACCGGGGTAACCCTGGTAACCAAAAGTTTTGCAATGGTGTTATGATGATCGACAGGTTTAAGTCTTTACTGAACTACAGTATATATCACTTATATATCAGTTCCTGTGTTGGAGGCATGTACACCTAGATTGCCAGGGTGCCTCAGTAAAAAAATATTTGTATCTTATTATATTAAAAGATTATGGGGGTGAGTGTGGCACAACCCTCACCTGCAAGGTCTGCTTCCAAATCTGCCAAAGTCTGATGGAGCTGGGCTGTGAGCTCTGGGTCATCTTCATAACTGCCCTTTAACCTGCCTGACTTTGCCTGTGGGTTGATGTCATTTTGCCTGAAATAAAAGAATTTATCAAAGAGACATTTGCACACATACACATGTAAAAACACACACACAGAGTGTCACAACATTTGTAATGCAAAACAGAGATTGGTGCAGCACTACTACAGCACTACTTATGACTACATAAATTTATGGACATAACAGTCAACACCAAACAGCTGCCATGAACGGCTTATTTGATGTTGTTGTTACACCCTTTCTGTTACTATCAGCCACAGTAACCAAAAGGCTAAATGAAGTTCAGTAGTAGAATAAAGATAATAAAAATGTGTTAGTTTTGAATATTTTGTGCTTGTTCAAAGTTGAATTTTGTTTTTACTGGAGCCTGCTGGCTTTGAAACATGTAGCTGTAAAGATATTATTACCACAGTTTAAACTTCATTCACTCTCTTCTAGGGTTCAACAGAGCATTCTCATGGGTTACTGGTGAATTAGCCATAACAAATTGCAACAAGAAGGCCAAACCAAATAGAATTTGTCTTCTAAGAGACTTGGACAGGTCCCCTTTTCCTCAACGATTCTGAGAAAACTGTGTTATAGTGCTTTCTTGGAAAACTGAGGAGCCAGTAACATCAGGCCAGGCCCTGGATTCATAAAGTTCTCTGATTAAGAGCATCAATCCCAGATCCCTGGTCTGGGCACATTACCATACACATTTCACAACAACTTTAAAAGGCGAAAAGTGATCTGGGGCATCACTCATTTTCCACAAGGCCTTTGAATAAGGGCCTAGAACCATAACTATGAAAGCCCAGCACTAAAGGTTGAGGGTGCCAGCTTTGGCTACAACTCAAATATAACACATGGTGGGAACTGCTCTTGGTTATTACTGTTGGAACTGTTCAAAACTGTGGACAGACTTCTATAGTTCTCTGAAACAGTGATGGTTCACTATTCAGGTGAAAATATAGGTGTGATACTAAACTTGATCGCCAAATGCAAGAATCCTACTTATAACTTTCATGCAGGTGTTAGGCAGGGTGAAATTGATGGCAAGGTGAATGGCACATGCATTATCTTGCCTGCCAGGAAAGCAGATAAAAGAATAAAATGTGATTGCAATGGATTTGAGGTAGAAGATGGTAGGAGTTGGCAAAAAGTAAATACTGGGGAGCATATGGCAAGCTGAATGGGTTAGGTAGACACTGGGAAGCATTTATATTCTTTTGAGGCCAAAGCATATGTCTGTCCCAAATTAATAACTACCCCCTAAAAGGGTTACCATGACTCCCTCTCTACCTGTGTCTTGATCCCCAGGTGGCACATCCCTCATCGCTGTCACTGGAATTGTCCCGCATTGGTCTCAGCAGTCTCTCTCTTCCCACTCCACTACTACCATCCAGAGACAAGCTCCATTCTGGGGATGTGGGTTGGGTGTCAGACGGAGAGCTGACCATCCCTGAGTCCTCGCCCTCTGCCATGCCCTCAGAGGCGGCGTAACCTTGGTCGGGCAGGCTACTGCCACCGCTGCTGCTTCCCAAGGACATGGTCTCCTCGGGTGTTTCAGTTTCTGGTTTCTGGCCACTAGCTGCGGAGCTCCGCATGGAGTGGAGCCAAGCTGGTAGAAGATAGAATAAGGTCTTAGCGTCAGTATTGAGTGTTATTACTGTCCTGTCCTGTTAGCATCTGTTAGCAGCAACTTCAACATCCAAATCAAAGGGTTTCCAATATAGATAGACCGATTAATCAGTCGGCTGATTATTCGGGCCAATTATCTGGCGTTTTAAAATAACTGGTGTTGGCTGATGCCAGTGTTCTCAAAGCCGATAAACAAAAATTGTCTGCAGACAGATCTGTGGGCAGCCTTGTGAATGCGTTAGGTAGTTAGTGCTCCCTCTTGTGAGTTTTGAGAAGATGGTGAAAAAGTTAGTTTGGAGCCCTGTACTATAACTGTCAATGCATCCGGCTGTAAACGTTTGCCTAAAAGTCCTCAGTCACCATTGTCTTTTCTAAATGTAAACATGTCTCTGCTTAATGACAGCAAATCTAATCTAAAACCTTTATTGGCTAGCATTAAATATATATTATGTATGTATAGAATAATGTAGTTCAGCGACACTGGTTCTGATATACTGTACCCCACTCTCACTTAAATACCAGGCACATTTTGAAATCTTCAACAAGTTTTTTTCTATTTCATTAATAAATAAAAATTCAATGTACATTACTTTCCTTGGTTTTGATATTGGCATTATATACTGGCCATTGGCCACCCTGCTCTCTAAATATCTGCATTGTCATCAGCCATTGAAAAAACGGTCTACAACTAGTTTCCAACGGCCCAAGGTTGTGTGTGGTGAAACTAAAGGACTGAGAATGGGCTTTTAATGGGGTAGAAAATTATGTTTGGCAAAATCAGGCACCATAGAGGCCTCAGGCTTTTTACTCATGCCATGCATTAACTTTAAAAAAACAAATTTATTTTTCTCAACTCCACAAACAAAAAATACTTTGGATACCTGGAAGAACACTGAGAAAAACAACACAACAAATCATGAGGACATTTGTTTGAAAAGCAGCACAGGATGCAGAGAGAGCATGAAGAGCCAGGGATGGAAAAAAAACCAGAGGAAGTATTTACGTTAGTTTCAACATTCAGTCTGACACCACACACACACACACACAAACCAAAAAACACAAGCCAAATATACAAAACGCAACCCCGGACCACAACCACTTGTGGCTTGATAAAACAGCTTTAATGATGTGTGGGTGGATTTTCTGTAAACAAACCCTTTTAATTAGATTTTTACAGTACTGTTTTAGGTCCTAGTGAAAGATAGTATTGCTTCATACCCTCTCATCTCTTTAGTACAGTCATGCTCTGGTCAGTCCTGTGGGTTTTGGAGAACGTATTTAGTCCGTCACTGATCTCAGTCAACTCCAGGCCAAGAGAATAAAAATCAATGTACCATTTGTTAGGTTTTCAGCAGCCCAGCAAGCATGCACAGCACTGAGAACTCAAGAGGGGATTCTTTAAAATGAGTTTAACAGTGACTGACCTTGTTTGAATACCAGGTGTCTGTGGCTGTGTGCATGCATTTGGACATTCATTGTGCTCCAATATGTCTTCCTATGTGTTTGTCGATGTGTAGGAGTGCAATAGGCCTGTCAGTTTTGGGCCGGGTCCTAATGGTGTGGAGAGAACAGTCAGTTCCAGGAGATGTGGTGATGACTCACAGGGCTGTCCTCCCAGCTCCTTCCCAGCAACAGCTTAGTCATGCCAGCTACAGCCACATTTAGCACACACACACACACACACACAGGCAAGTGCATGCATACACACACTGTCTTATGCTCTCATATGCTTACACACACACACAGTCTTCAAATCCAAACTAACAAGTAAACAAGAAAACCTCGACACATAGCTGTCGAACATCCAATTCAATATGACCATAGGCACATGCTTCAGTTAAAGCCTAATAAAAAGTGTCCCAAGCAAGTCAATACTGTGTCATGTTACTTGTTAAAATCTAACCATTGCAACCCATGCACAATTCCAAACCAGAGTCCTTGAATCTTGATCCAGTCTTCAGCTGTTTAATTGAAAAGGTTTTTCAAAGATATAACCTGTTTTCACAATACAGATCGCCTTTAAAGATAAATGTTCTGTTCATGTAATCTGTTTATCTGTTCATTATCACAACTCTAGAGGCTCAGTAAGTACACACTGCACAACCAGGCTATACATTCGCTCCAAAACTCCTTAAAACTTGCAGTATAAATGATATTTTACATACAGTTTGGATAATTGTAAAATAAAACGTTTAACAGATTTGCCTTACACATTGCTGTAACCATGATCATCTTAAAAAATGATTAGATTCTGTGACACCACAATACTTGCATTTATATAGTATAGAAAGAATCATACGATAACAAGGGCTCCATTTCCATGACATAGTCACCGTACAAAAAGCACATTTTGGATTATTTTGCATATATGTGTAATAACATAGAGCTAATTGTTGTAAATTGTAAAATTGTTGTGCTCTATGACACAGTCTTTAATTAAAGGTCCAGTGTGTAACATTCAGGAGGGTCTATTGGCAGAAATGCAATACAATATTTACAGGTATCTTTTTATTAGTGTAATCACCTGAAAATTGTTGTGTTTTCGTGACCCACCCTACAGTAGCCCAACGGACAAACCAAACACTGGCTGTAGATAGGGCCTTTTGTGTTTTCCATTTTACTGTTTGTTTGCGTTTTGCAGCCTACATAGTTTGTCCTTTGCTCTTGGAAGGGAAGGGTGAAGCGAAGGAGTTGGAATCTGCAAATACACCACTAGATGCCACTAAATTCTACACACTGGTCCTTTAAGTGTCTTGCAGTTTTTCAGTTTTTCAAAGATCCAAATGATGTACTTATGCTCTGGATTCTAAATGATTAATCCCTTTTTCACATAGGGTGTCATGACAAATGGGTAATTTTGAATCCCTACCCATCACTTAAAAACAAGCTGTGAAGCACTGATGCAACTACAAACCACCAATGTGGAGTGTTGTTCTCTTTTCTAAGTAGACGGTTATGAGCTTGCGAAGAGGTCTTTCATTTCATACATTTCTCTTCAAAATACATGAGGCACCACTGCCTAAAAGCAACATGTCATTGATAGATCACCCTTTCCATATTATTGCCAAAGGCAGCATGCATTCAGCTCTCACATTTCTAAACCAAGCCACAACACCAGACACAGGGAGAGAAACATACGCTGTCCAACTATTGATCTGCAGATATCGCATCACCAAAATATTGGCTGACAGATATCACATGGCCTTGCCTCATAGCCTCATTTTAGTATGTCAGTCATCAATCACACTGTAACTTATACGTCCTGGGGTTAGGTCATCTGTCATTGTATAGTCCTCTAACCACATTCTGTGTGTCCACTTTTAACCCAGCTCTGATGTCATGCATAATCAATAACCAGCAGGTCAAGCTGAAATGTAAAACCACCAACACTATATACATACATTTGTAAAAAAAGAAAAAAATAATAATCAGCAAAAACAGCATTGCTTTAGGAGTGCGAGAGCACAACTTGCTTTCACTTGCAGGATTTTGTGTCCATCAACAAAATCAAATACAAACCATCAATAGGAGAGATGCAATTAGGCTGCTGCAAAGTGACACCAAGGGAAAGCAAATTAAAGATATAAGACGATCAAAATTATGAGAGCAATGACACCTTGACAACAAATACAATGGTACAGAAGAAACAGTAACAACATTCTTAAAAGGATGAGAGTGGTGAACATCAGAAGGAGGTCCAGCAGAAAAAAGAACAGCCAAGACGAAGAAAAGGTAACTGATGAGAAAGGATTGTTGGACGGAGAAAGGGTCAAGCCAAAGAAAGACTTCAGGGGTGTTTGGAGCGCAGACGCACAGGCCCACAGCAGTACACTACAAAGTAGGGAGTGGGGGTGGGGAATAAAGAAAAAGACATATGAGATTTGAGATGGAAAGATCATAGACATTGTGCTGGGTAGAGATGGAAAGGTAGGACAAAATACAGTAAAATGGAAAAAAATAGTGTTTTGGCCACCTAGCCTGGTGTCTCCTATTATATATCTAATATCAATGTACTGTATAAATGCAACAACAAAGGCACTCCACTTGATTGGTGTTGACCCCAGCCCTGACCTTTTGGACCCAGAAGAAATAACATTACTACAGGTTGACATTTATAGATATGAAGCACCTTGACCTCACATAGATCCAGTATCACTTAACACCTCTGCTGCTGGGTCGCTGATAGAAAGAGTGAGATGGAAAGCATGTAAGGATAGAGTGTAACATTTACACACACACACACATGCGCACAAAAAGATTTGACTCTGATTGGGAGAAATGAAATAAAAGTTAGAAACCCAGGGGAGCAGCTTCTAGGAATGAAAATAAAGACTAAGAGTGAAGGAAAGGGAGATTTAGTCCATCTGGAACCTACACTGGGGCGCTGCTTCCTCTGCCTCCATGGGATTCTGTGGGGAGTTGCTTTCTTTGGGCTCAATGGGAGGGGAAGACGGGGTAGGGGGTAAGACAAACTGTGGTGACTCCTGGGCTGGGCAACGCCGAGGTTTGGGTGGTGCTGGTCGATCATTGGTTCCTGCAGGAGAAACAGCATGCAGGCAGGGCAGGCACCGATGGTCATTTTTGTAAAAAAAAAAAAAAAGGGGAATGTGACACAAACATTGTACATGCAAACTTCTTATCAAGATCTTTTTATTTATTCTGGCAACATTTTGCCTTCTGTGTTATTGTGCTACACTCCTTAGAGACTGCTTGTTATTCAAACAGTAGCTTCTTTATCCTTGGATTATCTGGTAATGAAGTTTGAGTTTCTGTGGGCAGAACTCCTTCCTTTGTCTGCTGAGCCATGGAAGTTATCACTGTTACAGCACTGTAAGCTATTGTTGACAGTACATTCATTTGTGCAGGTTTTAACCATTGCTCATGTGGGATTGTGAGTTTACTTGACTATGTAGTGGAGCGCCAAAACTCTACAACAAAGGTCCTTACAGTATCAGCTGAAGATTCAGGAAAAGTGAAAAGTAAAAACTTGAATAACAAGTGTGTGACAAGAGTGGAACTGTTGTTTTCTTCACTGGGTATTGCATCACTGAGGGTTTTAATATATCTGTCTTCTTCTAACTTGTATTCAATCACTAATAAAAACATATTGCATGCTATACATACAGTTTACCAGATGAAACTGGATGCCTAGGTTTGCAGAAAAGGTACTTGCTTTCATGAACTACTTTGCTATTACTTTGCTAATTTAATGGTCTGCCACGAGGAACAAGTGAGAGACAGAAGTGTGGACTGACAAATAGGACAAGGTCAATCCAGATAACATATTGGATTGTAAGGGGAAAGGCACTATTGCTGTAAAACAGCACTGCTGAAAAATAGCTATCTAAATGTCTTTAAAAGACTAGTGATGCATCAGTGTGCTGTGTCTTAGTCAGCAGGTGCTGTCGATGTGCTACTTTATCTGTTTACTCGGTTGCCAACAATAGGAAGGAACTGAGACAGCATGCAGGGCTGAGATGATAAACAACACCATCATAACCTTGACAGCCTTTGAAGCACACACACAAACACAAACACATACCCAAGTGGTAAAACACTCAAATCCTATTTTCCTATCCACAAAACCCTAAAAATGACCCTGATGCTAATCCTTGATTTGATCATATTATTGTATCTGTGTTTCTCTAAATAAGCAAACACAGACACACTGCCCTGATGCCTTATGCACTCCCTGAATAATAGTATGATTAATGTGGACGCAGTCTCAAAAATAGTAGTACTATATCACTTTGTCAGTAAAAACCAGTGGAAACTGTGTTGACTAGATCTAAAAAGGAACCACTAATTTACATTTTCCCTGGCCTCTCTGCTTCAAGCTAAAGCTGTAGAAATCCAGAAATCCAAAGAAAATCCCCTTTGTCCTCTATTTTCAACTAAAGCTGAAGCTTTGAATTTAAATTGACATAAATGTTGACATTTTGTTTTCCCTCGTGCCTACCATAAAGCGTGCACACACACACACACACACACACACTCACACTAACACACCCATGCCTGCACAAGCATACACACAGAGATTCAACAGTACAATAGCATTTTATGATCTAAGGTAAATACTACCTTATATCAGACACTAGAAGAAGCAATGGTATAAAACCAGTATTTTTATGGTTTGCAGCTCCACCTTTCTTTAATTAGATATCTTTATCACAAAGCTTCCCAAAGCAAATGACATACAGTTTAAAGTTTGACATATACATCAATTTTGCTTAAATGAAAGACTGAATCAAACCTATAAAATGAAAGACTAACTGAAACTTATACTGTACCTTTACTGTGTACATTTCTGTCTCTGCCTATACAAGCAGGTGGGCACCACCCTGTACTGTACATGCAGGGTGTACTTGTCTAGCCCTAACATGTATACCAGCTATTAATTCACTGCCAAATATGTATTGTTGATGTATAGCGGAGTGCAGTTGCAAGGCTGCACTGAACAATCTTCTTTATATTTGCTGCATGTTTGTGAAAAGCTGAAAGGTTGATGTTGAGGTTGTGTGTACAAAAAGGACTGTTGGAGAGAATGTGGCTTTTGGAATAAAACCATTTTACAACAAATACACTTTGTAAAAGGAAAGAAGACTGAAAATGGGGAGAGTCAAAGCAAAAAAGAAGGTGATGCACTGTCAGCAGTGTCAGGAAAGAGTAAAAAAAAGTAGCTAGGTCTATACATTTATTAATGATCCTGGTGCTCTCTGTTCTATCCTGACTAAGGCACTAACCTCCTCATACTTCATCCTTTCTCTTGCTTTCATCTGCCTGTCTATCATTCTCCTCTCCTTAAACCCCCCTAGCCCCCTTGTTTCTTCCTTGCTACCCTGTCATCCGGCTGCCAAAACCTTCCCATGCTCCTTTCCCTGAACTCCATTCACCCTCACCTTTCTCATCCCTTTTTCTGAGGTCTACGGCTCTCTCATCTCTGCCCCTGTCAGACAAGACAGGCCTTTGCTGCAATCTCACTTTGCTCCCGAGAAAGATCTAGGTTATATAAAGATCAATACAAGGCCAACTAAAGTTCAAGTAGATCCTGTTTAAATCTATGACGGATCTGTCGGTGTATCTACCAGCTTTGAAGGTTTGTGTGAGTGGCTGCATGCATATGAGAGAGACAGAGCAAGGGAGGGAGAGACAGACAGACAGACATAAAGAGACAGAGAGAGACAAAGAGAGAAAGAGAGAGAGAGAGAGAGAGAGAGAGAGAGAGAGAGACAGAAAGAAGAAAAAAGTGAGAAAGATACGACAATTGTGAAGGATTGATAAGTGAAGGCAAGAGACAGTGACTGTGTTGTCTCATGAGCTACGATGAAAACCAGCTCCACTGGTTCCTGTACCTCAACCATGACATGTGCACACACACATACACACACTTTTACCAGGTAATGTGCGTCATTCTTGACAGTAAAAGATTTCAGATGTCAGCTCAGGGCAGACATTCAGTTACTTTCTAAGAGGTAAAAAGTTAGTTCCTTTACATACAGAGAGATACGTATCAACTAGCTCTTCTTTTTTTTTTGATGAATATGAATGTCTTGTGTACTGTGGTGTGAAAATGTAATATGCCAGTTTAGCTTATAATTGAAATCACAGAGTGATGGAGCATAATAAAACTAAGAATGATATAGTGTCATATTGATAGACAGATACAACAGGTAGATCTCATTAAAGCTTCACTGACAGTGATGCTGTGTCTGCTTTATCATTACAAATACCCTTAGCTGTAATTTGCTATCACTTCTGTACATCTATGCAGTGCTGTCTCTGTCTTTAATTTGAGAAGAACTAGTCTGATAACTGAGAGATGCTTTCATTTGAAACTTACTAAACTAAACTGGTTGCATTTATACACTGAAATATTCAAATGTAGATTCTTATTTCTAACATCTGTGTCAGGTGCTGTTTTTTTTTTTACTGTTATGCCATTTTATAGATATTTACCCATTGCGCTGTGTCTGTTGTTCTCAACTTCATCCAGTTTCAGGTTTAGGGCCGACTCAGTATCCGACTTGGAGCTGCTGGCCGAGGTTGCCTCTTGATCTAATTTAGCAGCCATGCTGCTGGACTTCTCAGATTCCTTCATCCTACTGCTGGAGCTTTTCTTCATGGGTTGGACCTGCACAGACCTGCTTCCTGTGCTGCTGGTGAGACTGCTGCATTGGGAACCGGTCTGGTCTAGGTCAGCGTCTGAGTCGTTGAGGCTTTGGCTGAGTTCAGAGCTGGAATCCTGGACAGCCAGGCTGTCCGTGGTGCTGCTACTTGGGGTCGGGGAGCTGGGGGTTGGGGTGTCGGCGGACCCATGTGGAGGTTGTGCAGCTGCGACTGGTTGCAATTTTTGCGATACCACTGTGGTAGCAGAGACGGTGGTTGACTGTGACACCTTGGTACGAAAGGCCGGGGTAGGTGTTTCAGTAGCGTGGTTATCAGGGGTGGGATTGGCAGAGGATGAAGTGTCGTCAAGGCTTGGGGTGATGGAAGCTGGAGTGGGAGGAGGGGCTGGAGCCTTTCTTTTCCTCTGCTGGCTTTCTGAGCCGAGGCCCATCTGATTGAAAACAAGAGAAAGAAAGGGAGACAGACAGTAGAAAAGTTAAAGTATGTGAGCACCTTGTGCATATGTGAGTGTGTGGTCTAACCATAAATCAGCCTGTCTACCAGGACTGAGTTTACTACTGAGTAATTAAATCAAGTGGAGTTCTGGCAGGCGTCTGAGTCCTCAAATCCAAGTGCCAACATTCCTTTTAAATTATCCTACAAGATATATAACATCTGGCAGTGGTACAATTAATTTGATGCAGTGGTATTGTGATAGTACATATTGATACTGTATTTGTATTTAATGTGGTGGCTCTTCTTATTATTGAACGGGACATCAAATGTAATTCTGCCTTGCTGAATTACTCGTAATACTAAATCACTGATCACTTCAGGCGTTGAAGTGACAGCACTGTGACAGCGAAATTATGCAATTTCTTCCGTGTGTGCAAACACAAAACAAACGCAGCATGTACTTAAGTTCGTTAGAGACTGAAGCCAAGAATCAAGATTCTGTATTATACCACATTCAAGGTCACACTATACATTATCTTAGGCTGACTATGTAATATGATTATGTATACACTGTGTTTATGTGTGTTACATTTGCAGCAAGTTATGTTACAGAGGGGAGAACAGCTGTATACCATGAGGAAAGATGGTATTTTCAGAAACTCTTTATTCCAACAGCTACACGTGTATTCCTGCAAGCTAGAGGCTGGATCTGGTCATTTCTGCTCATGTCTCACAAGTCAAGTCACAACAAAGAATACGACTGCCTGAGTACCGAGTGGATTCTCAAGTCCTGATGCCTTGAGTGCAATCAAATCAAGTTGCATCAAATCACAAGCAGAAACAATATCAAATGAAATCCATGCAAAGTTGTGTAAGTGAATAATCAGTTCACTTTCGAGCAGTTCTTTCACATTGTACACCAAAATAATATATATACGTAATAATAAAATAGTTAAAAATAGTGGATATGAACACAGAGATGCTAAACACCAGTGTTGAGAGAGTACACCATTAACTGTATCTGTATCTGTTCAACTAACTAAATTATTTCTATTCTTATCCATACTGTAGATTGGTGGGGCTTAAACCAGATATGTTCTTTTAAAAACTATTTATAGAACAGCCTCAGAACTGAGCTTCAGAGCAGTCTTTCTGCTGCTTACAAGAGTAAGCAGAACAATTTACAGCTTTTTTTAATAAAAGTTGCTACACTATTACGAATATCGACACATTTTACTCCGATGATCTTGTACATTATCTGTACTAACACTCGTTTTAGCCGAGTACTTGCTTAATCCTACTAAACGCCTCTTTCCATTCCCATTTACTTGAAATTGTTCAATCACATTGTAGATTTGTTTTGGGTAGGCTATCTTTTAGAGACAAACATTTAGATGTTAACAGAAGTCAGATTCATGGGTGATTTTCTGCTGTTTTAAGTATCTATAATTTGAAGAAACCCAATAAACAAGTCACCAGAAGTCCATTTATTTCTGATGATTAAGAAAGGATGTAGGCACGTCATCAGCCACCATCTGATTGTCTGATGTTCTTGTTTCCATACCAAAGTTAACTTGTTTGTTCACTCCACTTAGAAGTGTAAAATAGTGAACTTGATTACATCTACTCACAGCTTTCATGTTCACTGCAGTGTTTTGTCTTATAAATGGTGTTTGGACGGAAGACTTCTTAGATATGATTCTGAGGGATAGAAGCTCAGCTGTAAAAATGCTGTAGTTTTGTTTTTGTCATTTTGCAGACAAATAAGTTACCATAACTAAACTAAAATGTAGAGGAGAAAATGAAACATATTTTTTGTTAAATTTAAGGTGTAACCATTGTCTCATGATGTGCACATCCTGAAAGAGCAGTTATTATCAAGCAACATGCTTCCTTGCTTTAACGCATTCAGAATTTTCTCTTCCTGTTTGGTTTTGTATGGGCTTTGATCAAAGAACGTTTGAGAAACAATACAACATATGTGGACATGGGTATATTTTAAAAGGGAGTGTGCCTTCACACAAAAGCACATAGCCAGCAATGCTATGCCGGTCCAGTGTGTCCATTAAATTTTCCACTCTGCGGTTTGAGAGGTGAAGGGCCCCATGTTGGATCATGTTTATCAGATAGGGCCACCCATGGAGGCTTCAACCTGTTGCGTGACCATTCATCTGTTGTTTCGAAGGACCCTTGATAGGTGAGGGGCTTTGTGACAGAGCAACATTACAGCACTAATGTGAAATGTGAAAAGGGAGAATGTGTGTGTGTGTGTGTATGAGAGGGGGTTACACTGTATATGTTTGTGTGCTTGTGCATGTCAGCATGCATGAGTACATTCACATATGCATGTGTGTGAGCAGATGTATGTGTATGTATGTGCGTGTAAGAGGTTATAATAGTGGCTGAACTGTTTCAACGCTGTGAGGTCACCAAGGTCAAAAACATCCTAACAGTATTTTTGAAGACAGTTAGCATGTGTTGGGTTATTGTGTGTGTGTGTTATAATGAACATGTGTGGGATGTATGATGGAAAGCATTTCATGTTTAAGTCTTAACAATGTGCGTGTGAAAGGGGGGCATAGAGGAGGCTAGCTAAGGGTAAGACGAGACATGGCTGACCCAGTTCTATTGTTGTCTACTTTGTCCTACTGACCTACTGAAATGTTTTCTTCTCCTCCTCTCGACGTTTACGGTGATATTCACAGCGAGTTTTGGGCTAGGGGTTAGAAGTAACAGTAGTAGTAGTAGCATAGTGACTGTTTTGCTCATTTAAAGGGTGTCTTTCTGTAGGCAACACTGCAGTATATTTAGTTTAAAAAATATATATAGCTATTTAGTTTTAGTATTTAGTCATACTAATCAAAAATATCCAAAAGAGGCAAGTTGTCACACGGCAGGAAACAGCAACTTTCGTGCTGACTCACTGACTTACATGATTAATCAATCATCAAAATTGTTTATGATTCATACTGTTGATGGACTGATCAACTAATCACTTCACCCTTAGTATAATATAAATAAATATTGGATTACATTTATATGCTGACTGCTTTCTAATTATAATCCACAACAAATGTGGTGATAACCTCTCCAAAATTAAATTTAAAAAATCACTGATTATCTTTTTCCTACAAATCCACACGTTTAGAGGAATCTCAACACACTCACATGCACACACACTCAGAAACAGCCATATTTTAGTACATTTGCTTCATTTGTTTGTCCCATCTGTCCTGGCTGGTCTCATACACAAGATGTTTTGACAGCTTCAAGTGCAAACAGATCCTGTCCTATACAGGCAGCATGGCAGGGAGACGTGTTCCCTATTCCAGCCCCTCAACTTCACAATCTTCAAGGTCAGTGTGTAAAAATAAAAAGCTTACAGTGCCTATCTACAGTACACTTCATTCAGCACGAGTAGACATACACTACACAGGGTATATTGCACATTAATATAAATAGATAATATAAAGAGTACCAATCCACGTTAAATCAATCTGTGCCAAGTTTCTTCTCTTGGTGAGAGAGTAAATTAGAGTATAGAGAGAGAGAGAGAGAGCGAGACTAGGCCAACACTGCAGTTTGTCCCAGTGAGTCAGGCCAATGGTGAGCCAAAAGCTGTCACAAGTGTGGTTACACTTATTAAAGCGCAGACAACACTCGCTGCAATATTTTTAATGCAAAATGCAAAGCTGGCCAGGGACCCCACAGCAGACACAGCTAACGTTAGCACACCTGCAGCCAGCACTGAAGAAGTTGAGTTCTTCTCCATGGACGTCAAAACTTTAATTTCATCAACATCTTCAGATAATTCATTATGTAATTGGATAAGTTGTTGAAGATAGGTCCCTGTCTCGGTTGACGTTAGCTTAGCATTAGTATACTAGCTTCAGCCAACACTCAGCCACTAGCTGCATCCCAAATTTACAGGTAAATATTGCATTATACAAGCTCTGCAATAGTGAGAAAAGTTAGGCCTTTTTTTTTTTTTTTACTGAAATTTCATTTTTGTTAATGTTGAGTAAAGTAGTGAAATAAGGTACCATTGGGTACCGGTAGAATTCCAGGTACTAGTATCATTCAAATTCAAATGTGGGGAGCCATCCTCCCAAACCTCTATTGACAACAGTGACACCCAGGTCACCTTCCTTTTTTCTGTCTTTGCACTGCTTTTTGTTATTTTACCCTCCTTTGTTTTGGTCACGGGTTCACTCACATATTCTTATCTGAACGAGGCTAAGCCTATTTAACCACAAATACAACAGAGACTAACAGCGATGAAACCCAACGACAGCATGGCTAACCTTTGTTTATGTTGTTAAGTGAGGGGGTTGTATTCATTTGGTGGAGCTGTAACCAGTCAACAAGTATTGCAAAAGAGACTAAACACAGGATGTGCAGCAAAAGAAAATCTGATATCAAGGGGAAACAAAAAATGCAAAGAAAAAAAGAAAAATGAATAGCAAAACAAAGAAGAAAAACAGAAGCAAATAAAGAAAAAAGAAAAAAACTTTACGGAAACGCAGCAGAGCAGATTAAAGTTAGCTACCATTGTAGACAACAAGGGAACTGATGGATGGCTGTGAAAAACAAGCCTCCCTCTGCTGCCAACGCTCTATTTTTGCAGAGTGACAGATCATCAGGAAGAAAGACGTAGCAAGCTCGATCAATCAAGAAGTCACACAGACTCAGGCAGGAATGCAGCACTCACAAAAACTAATTCATGCAATGATGTGTGGACATGTGAGGACAGTTTTGGGCAAAAAACTATACTACAAACTGCCATAATTAATCTGTCCAGCAAACACATAACAATGTCAGAATTGTCTTGGGAAATTCTTTGTAAAATCTGACAACTGGATTTCCCTTGAGAAATGTATTCTTGTTCAGTTGCAACAGTGTTTCTGCTACCATGGTGTATTTGTGTTCTTTTAACTGAGAGACAGTCATCAAATTTTAATTCCCACATTAGGGTTCACTTGTCTCAACAAACAG